AGGGTTTAGGGTTATACAGGATTAAATGGGGATTCTGTTGAAATGCTATAGGGAGTAATTATTTAGGGGTTCTGGGTTATTTAGGGACTCTATAGAATATAGGGATTATGTAGGGAGAAGGGTGTTTAGGTTTAGGGTTTAGGTCTCTATGGTGTGTATTTAGGGATTCTATAGGGAGTAAACAGGCATTCTGGAGGGTTGTATAGGGATTCTATAAGGATCATTTTGGGAGTATTTAGGGAGTATCTAGAGATTATATGGGGATTATATAGGGACTATCTAGGGGTTATATGGGGATTATATGGGGTTTATATTGGGTTTTATGGGGATTACATAGGGATAATGGAAAAGAAAATGGAAGCTACCATAGAAAATTTGGTTATGCATGTAGAGATTATATAGGGACTGTATGTAATAGTGGAGAATCATATGGAAAGAAACTTGAAAATGAAATGGCTAATGGGGTTCATAGGGTAGATAGGGTTTCGGCATAGCCGAGGTCATAGAACCGACAACAAGAAAACCGGACAATGGTTGAGAATGTTATATATAAGTAGACAAATGCAGAGATGTAGAGTCTTAATCTTCAAGCTTAGGCCCCATATGGAAGATGACGTTAATTTTTTCATCGTATCCTCTTAGCATCCGGCAATAGGGACGAGGAGAGGGGGGCGCAGGGGAGGGGAGGTGGGGGTTCTGGCCATTTTTGAAGCACGGAAATGAGCAAATGTATATTTTTCTGGTTTCCAATGGCTTTTTGATGTTGATAGGGTTTAGGGTTGTTGGATCCTGCAATTTCGAGATGCCAAGTTGCGTTGGAAACCTGAACCTGAAACTTACTGGGGTTAGGAGGAGACATATTCCTATATTGTATATTCCCATGTTCCCTATAAACCCTAAATCCTAAACCCTATAATATTCCCCTATTTCCTATTAACTTCCCCCTAAACCCTAAACCCTAAACCCCAAATGCTGGGATCACACCTGGTCAGGTGAACAAGGAGCGGGCGCACCAGCTCCTGGAGATTCAGGCTTGGACTGGAATTGTTAGGATTTAGGCATAGGGACTATGGGGTTACATAGGGGTAATATTGGCGTTCTATTGGGATACTGAAATGGAAGCCACTAGTTGGGTTTTAGGGTAGAGGGTTTAGGGCTTGGGTTTAGGGTGTAGGATTTAGGGTTTAGGGTTTAAGGTTTTGGGTTTAGGGTTTAGGGTTTTGGGTTTAGGGTTTAAGGTTTGGGGTTTCATGGTTAGGTTTTGGGGTTTTGGGGTGTTTGGAGGTGGTTCCTGGAAGTCTCGTGGCCGAGGTTCGCAAGGAACGCGACCGAGTCATCGAGCACAAATTTGCGGAGAACATGGCGAATCATGTGCTACTTGCCTGCCCTAATATTTACACCCTACAGTTTCCACTTTTTTTTCTATTACAAACCCCAATAGAACCGCTAATATTACCTCAATGGGCCCTCTGAAGATGCGCGTCGGAGCTGCATCAGAGGCGGCAGGTATTCCAGAGTCCATCAACACCAGGGTTATGTTAGGGTTATCTTGGGGTTATCTTGGGGTTATATTGGGGTTATTTTGGGGTTATCTTGGGGTTATCTTGGGGTTATATTGGGGTTATCTTCGGGTTATATTGGGGCTATCTTGGGGTTATATTGGGGTTATCTGCGTGCAAGGCTTGAGCAGGCTGAGCTGGAGCACAAGCTCATCATCGAGAAGGACTCCCAGCATTGTGTGTGATCCACTCGCTTTCCCTTATGTTCTTCCCTTGAGTCAAATTTGTCCCTGTGTTCAGGACAAGCAACGCCAGAGAGTGAAGAGCATCAACCAGCAACAGAAGCCTCGCGGCAAACATGAGCCTGTGCGCGTCCGCATAAGAGGACCCCGAGCATCACACTCCTTCAGAGGAGGTGCCGCGCAAGGGTCTCTTATGTACGAGCTGCGCATCGAGCTTGAATCTGGTAGCTGAGGATAGCGATGAAGGAGGCTCAACGTGAGGAAGCCATGCAGGAGCCGAAGTGCTGTTTTGCGTTCCTGGACAAACGTAGACATGAGTTGTTGCTTGGGCTCGGCTCCTGCGGTCATGGAGGAATACCTGAGGGAGCGGGCAGAGGTGGACACTTTGGTTGCCCAGATTGCGGATGAAAACGAGAAGGAGCGCAAGGTCCGCCGCCGTGGATATGAGCCAGCCAGCCTGGTGTCCTTCGCGAGATAGAAATAAGCTAGGTAAGGCCAGGTAGGGAACATCCCAAGGTATCACCCGATAACATCCTATCGTCTCTCATGAGAGCATCAATGCTGGGCAATAGATGGTAGTTTCCCAAAATAGGAGGCTACTAATATAGATCTCAAAACATTATAATCCTTAGTATGGGGACCCCCAACTTGGCACCCCGAATTTCACGGCCAAAAATTGTGGTTTGCCCGCGCCCACGGCCACAGACTATGTTAGGAAGCTCAAATCCCTGCGCCTTGCCAGTGTTTTCTACATCTACATGGCTAGATATAGCCGCAACATCCGCGCATCCATTTTACAAAATGGATGCGCGAAAACTAACCCTCACGTACTTTTTTTGGTTTAAAACCCCGTAAACCCTAAAAGCCCGTAAGCCCTAAACCAACTCAAAACACGTAAAAACATGGTTAAAAAACATAAAACACCTAAAACCCCTATACCCTATAAGCCCCTAAAACCCTTAAATCCCTAACCGCTACACCCAAAACCTCCAAAAACCATAAACCCTGAAGACCACTAAACCCCAAAAAACCTTAATGCCTGTAAACAAACCCTAAACCCTTAAAAGCCCCTAAGCCCTAAAAGCCCTAAACCCTTAAAAACACAACCCTAAAACCAACTTAAACCATAAAAAACCTCTAAACGCTAAAAACACCTAAACACCCAAAAACCCTAAACCCTAAAAGTCCCAAATCCTAACAACCCCTAACCCTTTAAAAAAACTAAACCCTAGAACACTTACAATCACCAAAAATACTTTAAAAACCTTCAACAACACTTAGAAACACCTAAATAACCCGGAGCCCTATACACCCCTAAACCCTAGAATGAAGTCAAACCCTAAAAACCCCTAAACCCTAAAAGCCCCTAAACCCAAAAAGCCCCTAAACCCAAAAAGCCTCTAAACCCAAAAAACCCTCAACCCTAAAACCTCTAAACCCTAAAAAACCCTAAACCCTAACAACCCATAACCCTAAACATCCCCAAGCCCTACAAACCCCTAAACCCTAAATCTGGCATGATGTGTGGGCGAACCACAATATTTGAAGGTAATTTTGGGAGACCCTAAACCCTGAACAGTAGCTTCCATTTTCTTTTCCATTATCCTTATATAACCACTTTTTTCACTATTATATTTTTATTTTCAATTTTATTTTCCATCATAGGACCCTAAACCCTAAACCCTAAACCCCCCATCTACCTTAGAATACAAAGCGGCCATTCTGAACAGGTCAGAGAAGAGAAGCAGGCTGAATCCCGCCACTTGCCCCGCTCCCAGGACCTTGGCCGGCGCGGTTTAGGGTTTAGGGTTTAGGGATTAGGGTACTGGTGGTTATTACGGAATAAGCGAAGATATCATATGGGGAGTTTATAGGGATTAGACTCCCTTATTCTCCACTAACCACCAGTAAGTTAATGTATCATGTAGGGAATTTATAGGGACTATATTCCCTTATTCTCGACTAACAACCAGTAAGTTTGGGGTCGAGCTAAATTTGAAGACTTCCTTGTAAGGTTGCAGAACTTCCTCGTGGAACAGCAGCAGAGGCAACAGCAAAAGTTGGCAGAGGACAGGGCCTTCCTTGACCTGCAACATGAAGGAATGGAAAAGAAAATGGAAACTACTATAGTATATAAGAGTTTATTTGGTGATGAGTGGAAAGACAATGGAAACTACTATAGTATATTGGGGTTTATGTGGGGATGATGTGAAAAGACAATGGAAACTACTAAAGTATTTAGGGTTTTCTTTGGGGATTAGTGGAAGAGAAGATGGAAACTACTAGGGTATATAGGGTTTATTTGGTGGTTAATGAAAAAAAGAATGAAAACTAGTATAGTATACAGGGGTTTATTGGGGGATTAATGGAAAAGAACATGGAAACTACTATAGTATATAGGGGTTAATGGAAACCTACTCTAGTATAGAGGGGTTCATTTGGGGATTAATAGAAAATGAAAACTACCATTTAGGGTATAGGGTACTCAGTAGATGGGGCCCTGATTTGCCTCGTACCATATCCCTACACCCTACTCATACCTGCATGGGTCCTACATCATCCCCGTGTAATTCCCACGCGCATCTGAGAAATCGTGCACATCTGAAGAAATCGTGCGCACCTTCTCCTTGTCATGGGAGGAGCTGGAGGAGAACGAGCGCATCGAAGCCTATGCAAGGATGAAACGCGCGCAGGAAGAAAAACTGGCAGCGGAGAAGGATGGACTTGGAGGGTCACATTTGCTGCATGGTGACAATGCCGGGGCTTTGGATGAAGTATGACTAATATATTGTGAAGAGGTTGGGTTTAAGGGCGTTTAACTGCTCTTGATCACGATGGAATCATGCTAGAGTCGCTGGAGATTGCCAGACAGTGATCAACAGGATAGCTAGCACCGACTATCTTTGGGCTACTGTCCAGCAGCTCTAGCGCATTGAATCAGTCCCCAAAAGCACCAGGCGATAGCTACTCAGAGATTGTGTAGATTGCCGCAGTAGAGCCTGACAACTTTGTACTGGTTCTTAGTGGGGAAGAATGGGAAGAGGGAAACATGGTCGCTAGATTATATTTCCATACTTCCCTACTCAGAATCAGTAAGACTTGTCAGGAAGAGCGAGAGCTGGAAAAGAAGCGCCTCATGAACAAGATGGTTGGTCAGATGGAGGCCGCGAGACAGCCCACCCGCCTGAAAAGATTCCTGCCCAAATCAGTCCATACAATACTACCACAGCTTTAATATTACTACTCTTTTGAGTACTGGTATTATTACTATTATGATTGTTATTCATATTCTTATTATTACTATTGTCATTATTGCGTATATTACTATCATTATTATCATCAGTATATGTGGTCTGCTGGGCTCCCTTTTGTTCGGGTTCCTGTCATGTGGGTGGTATATAGGAGACAGATCCTGTTCGTCCCTTTCTGCATTTGGAGTTTCCAATAGAGGGCCCCTGGTATAAATTCCGAAAATCCTAAGATCACTGCTCCGGAAGTGACTCCGATTTTTGTTGGAACCTCTCACGCGGTTTAGGATTTTTCAGTTCCACGCCCGCCCTTGCCTATTCTGCTTTGGAGGCCAAGAGCAAGGAGAAGGAGATGTCTGGGCCCCAGCAATACCTGAGGTATGGGAGGCCGTCATTGTAGGGATATAGGGATTATGTAGAGCTATACAGGGTTTATAGGGACATGGGGATTATATAGGGCCATATGGGGTTTATGGGGATACAGGTTAACAGTTATACATCGATAATCTGGGGTTCAGGGTTAATCGTTTAGCAGCTGTTTCTGCCAATGTTGTCTGCGCAAGATTGGTGGCACCTTGCTAGGAAAGCGGGTTTGTCTCCTTGACAACTCCTTGCTTCTCAGCTTCTCGCAGCCGCTACAACCCCTACAACACCCTGAAGTCCTTCAAGCCCCTGAAGCCTTCAAACCCCTCAAAACCCCCAAAACCCTGTAGACCGCCCTACAACACCCTAATATCCCCAAAGTCCTTAAATTTCTATGCCCCTGAAGCCCCCTAAAGAAAGTTCTTGAAGACTCTAAGCCCCCTAGAACGCCCTACACCATTAAGACAAACTAGAACGCACCAGGATGCCCTAAAGCCCCCAAAGCGCCAAAAGTTCTTAATCCCTCTTGGGCTCCCTAAACCCGCTAGAATGCCTTACAACGCCCTAAGCCCCTAAAGCACGTAAAGTCCTGAAACCCCGAAGCCCCCTAGAGCACCCTGCAACACCCTACAGCGTTTCTCCGAAAGTCCTTAACCCTCTGATCCTCAAAAGCCACTAAAGCCTCTAAAGTTCTTCAACCCCCTAGCCCCCTTAACCCCCAAAGCCCCCAAAACCACAAACCCCAAACCCCAAACCCTAAACCCCAAACCCTAAACCCCAAACCCTAAACCCCCGCCTCCCAGACCCTTTCTGTTGTTGCTCCTGCCACCATGGGAGTCCTCTATACCAAGTTAGTTTGTTGGCCGCTGATGGGAACTCCCTTTCCACCCCTCTACTACGGTGCCCTAAGAAGTCCCAATAGGCTTCCACATGTCTATCGCCCCATCTCTTGCCGTCATGCTTGAAGATCATTGCCCTGGCCAACCTGAGCGATCTGGCTTCATAGTCAACCCATAGCTCATCCGCTTTCCTCCTGATCCTCATCATTCTTCTGATGCAGTTGCACTGAAAGAAGTTGATGGTGGTTTGAGCTTGTGCTGACGGGAACAGTGCTCCAATTACCCACCTGAACACCCCGAAGACAACCGTGTTGAGGAGTCTGATTCTGCACCCCAACGAAGCTTTAGCTTGCAGGATGTGTAGGATGCCATAATACTTCTTTCGTGCCCTGTCAATGAGGTACTCCAGAACCCTGGCTTCCGTGGCTTCTGGACCCACCAGTAAGTTCATGACGTACATGATGTCGTTTTCCTTTTGTGGGAGTAGGGGCTTTCCATCCAGCATTAGGGGGACTGATTTCGAACCTTGGATACACACGAGGACACACTTCGCGGGCTGAATGTGCAGGCCGAAGAACGCAAGATGAGGGAGTAGCTGGTTCATGAGCGTTTGCAGGGAAGTAATGGAGGATTTCCATGCAAGCACATCGTCCATAAAACAAGCTCCGTCCACAGGGATCTCTTCCAGCACCGCTCCTACCGACTGTTGTTGGATGTCCGAAAGGATATAGTCAAGCAGCTTAGCGAAGAGCAATGGCGATTCCGTGGCTCCTTGTTTTACCCCCACGTTTGCATCTATAGCATGGTCACCCCAGGGGAGGGAGAGGACCACCTCTTTACTCATGAGCATCCTTAGCAGGCATTTGACTTCGAGAGGGAAGCGACCGTCCGCCCATTGGATCACCTTCTCCGCGAGCCGAAAGCGAGAGACGGTATCAAAGGCCTTGCGTATATCCAGTTTGAGGAGGTACGCATCCTTCTTCCATTCTTTGGCTAAATGCACCACTTGTAATGCTGACCACAGGAATTCTGCCGGTTGACGTCCCCTAGCGGCGAATTGCTTGTCACCCTTAATCTCCAGCACGCCCTCCAGTCTAGCTAGGATTAGTCTAGCAAAGGCCTTACTCACGTGTGAGGCCAGTGCTATAGGGCGCAAGTCTTTTGGACATCTGGGGGGGATCACTTTTGGCAGCAGCGTGGTCACAGACTCATCCCAATCCTTTGGGATGTCCCCTGTGTGCAATATCCCGTTGAAGAAGTCCACGATTGCTGCTAGCGAAGTGGGGTCTTCAGCCAGGGATTGCAGAAGTTCGGTGGGGATACCATCTGGGCCCACCGCTTTTCCCCTTTTACCCTTCCCTATTGCTCGCGCAACCTCTTCCATGGAGAACCCTGCCCCCGCCTTTTCGCCTTCCAGTGAACAGATCAGCCCTTCCAATTTCTGCATCTCCTGTTCTGCTTGCTGGCTGTGAAAAACAGATTCGAAGTGCTCCTGGATCTGACCAACTGGGTCCTGCTCTGCGCTGGACGCCATATACTGCTCTCCCCACTGTCTTCTGGGTTTGGTAATAGCCTTGTAGAGACCTCAGTCAGAGCTCGCCTTCTCAATCCGTTTCTCCCTCCAGCACTGTTTTTCTTTCCTCAGGGCCACCCTGTATTGCTTCCACGCCTCCGCCGTTCCCCCTGCCTTTGCCATATCCCTTAGCGTGCCCACAGCTGCACTCGGCCGAAATTTGCACCCCAACGAGAGGGGTCTGGTGTGTGTTTTAGCCAGTGATTTCAGCTGCTCCTGAGTGATGGTGGGAGGTTTGGACTTCACAGTTCTGGGGCCACCACCTTTCACCCTCTCCCTTTGTTTCGCACCCCCAGGAAGCCACAGCATTACTTCCACTCTATCATGGTCAGTGCCGATCTCATGTCTACTGTCCGCACTCACCACCAGCTGAATGTTGTCGTGCCCCGAGGTAAATGCTCCATCAATCTGCGTGCTAGCCACGGTCCGCTTGCGAGAGTGGAACGTTGCGAGGTGCATTTGTTCAACCCGTGGTTCTGCTTGCTGCAGTCCAACTTCAGCCATCCCCTGCCGCAGCGCCGCCCACTTGGCAGTAATGACCCCGGGGTGGACCTCATTGTTGCATTCCCTCCATGAAAACTGAACGTTAAAGTCTCCTAGGACCACCGTCATCTGCGCCCCTCCTGGTTTAACCCCGAGGAACTCCGCAAGCAACCTGGCCACTTCTTCTTTAACTTCATTGTTGGGGAGGTGGAGCGACCCTATGGTGATTTTCTGCTGCGTCTGAATGTGCCGCAGTTGGACCCACACCCCTCTGCTCGTGCTGGACTTCTTGAGGAGCTGCAGCTTGTCACTACGATAAAGCACTCCTACACCTCGGTACATGCTGTAGTTTTGGTGCGTGATTCCATGGAACTTCTCTCCCTCAATCACCTTCCATCCGGCGACTTGCTTAGGAAACTCCTGGACAGCAACCACATCGCAGTCAACAATGTGTGCAAAGATTGTCTCAATGGCCTTGGTGCTAACCCCAGCCAAGTTCCACGATGCCGCCTTGAGACTAACTGTTTCCCCTCCAGCTGCACTTCGCACTTGCGGGAGGCTGCATGCCCCCGGAGCAGAGGTCCCCTTCGGCTCCACAGCAGTAAGTTCCTGACTAACCTGGTCTGTTTCCCTCAGCATATCAGCATGGAAGAATTTCGGTCCTGTAACACCCTTGTGCGTCACCATACGATCCCCTTCGACAGCCATCACGGCTGACTCGGAGGGGTTGCCGTTGTCCGGTTCAATGTCACTTGCTGTACACGGAACTGAAGGTGCAGTCCGCGGGTCACTGAGGGCCGCGCCCTGGCCATCCTTTTTGCCTCGCCTTTGACCCTTAGGGTATTCCTTGGAGGCTGATTCAAAAACATGCAAACCTTCAAAGCTCGGCCACCCGTGTTCACCCCGATCTCGTGTCAGGGCGCCGAGAGGCAGATGTGCTCTTTCCGAATTGTCAGTCAGCTCATCCCATAGCGATTCTCAGCTCTGGACGATCTTCTCCCAAGCGTCCCCTATCTCCTTCTCGTTCTTCCCGCTCAACTTGGCAATGAGTGGTACATCAATCCACGAGTGGTCAAGGATGCCCCTGCTCACATGCTCACCGTTTCTCATTTTCTCCACAGAAGACACTAGGTTGTCCTTGTACCAGGTACTACCTGTAGAGTACCCGCACTCGACCTCCGAGACGCCAAGCCCCAGTTGGTAGAAGAGCTTTCGTGTCTTCCCACAATGTTGGCCTGGGCCTCTTTCGCTGCGCGGTCTACTGATCGCAGCCCATATGGCCTTCCCATCTGCGGTATGTTCTGACTGGACTCTCGCCGAGTTGACAGCAGCAATGATCGCCATCATGCGGGTGCGCATGCCATCAGCGTTCTCGCCCTTGCGCTGCACAAACTCTGCAATGGCTACGCTATGCCGCACCGCTGGAACCCATGCGGCATTGTCGATCAAGCCGTCCACTTGGCTGTCCTTCAGCACCGCCATAAGGTCCGCGAGGATGTGAGCCTTCTTCGTGTCGGTTCTCCAACCACCGAAGACAAGGGAAGGGCCTCTGTCCACAGTCCCTCCACCGCCAGATGGCCCACTCGGGACCCCGCGCGCCTCCAACTTGCCAAGTCTTTCCAGCACGCTCTCGTAGGCCGCCTCCATTTTGTCCATCTTTTGCTGCCCCGCGTCCATCTTCTTGGTCAGGTTCGATTTAATTTCGTCCACGGCCTTCATGATCTTGCCTTCACTGCCAATTTCCTCCTTGTACCACGCTTGCAGCTCTTTCGTTTGGTCCGCCAGCATGTTCTTCAAGGAGTTCCACGAGAACGCGTCTCCGTGCCCTGCCTCTCTTTTAGTCGGCGACGCCCCAGCTTCCGACTTCCGCTTGCCCGTAACAGGGACCTCCTGTACGTCATCCCCCTGCTCTTCTTCAGAGACCGCATCCAACTCCATGGCCTGCCCAGGGAGGGGGGCTGACTTGCCTTTGCCAGAAGCCATCACGTCGAAGGTGGGGAGAATCGCACTGCCGGGGTCCCCACTGGAGTCCTCGCACCGCCGAGCTCTTTGACGGATTGCAGGGTCGACGCCTGGTCGTGGAAGAACTGGCCGCCCAGCGCCGCAGCAGCGCCCACATGCCAGCAGCAGCTATGGCTCGAGAAGAAGAAAGGGAAAGGGTTTGGCAGGTCAACGCCTGGAGAAAAGGTCCCAC